CCCCAAAACCCCAAAACCCCAAAACCCCGAGGTGTCTCCCAGAGGTTGAGATATTTCATAAACATAAAAATAATTAAATAATTATATTAAAAAATAATTGAGCTCCCTAAAACCCATGGAATACATACCAAGAATGCTATAGTTAGGAATATGGAGTCACTACTATGCTTCCTAATATTCGCAAATAAACAGGAGTTGAGGCCACAAGACTAAGTGTCGCTCACTGTATATTTACAGCTCAGAATATATATAGTTATCATACAATGAATTTCAGAACTGATTAATAATATCTGAACCAATTACATTAGAACCCCATCCCTTATAGTAAGACAGAACAAACGAACCACAGAGGCAGAACAAACGAACCACAGAGGCAGAACAACTTTTCCCTCGAGCCCATTGATATTCAGTGAACGATATTAAAACCTGATAATCTTATTCAAACTCGTAAAAGTGGTTGGCCATTCTCACTCCAGAGGCAAGGTCACTTTCCTTGATGTCTTCTTCTTTTTGGACTTCTTCGATCTTGCTCAGCTTCGGACTTTCAGAGGGAGGAGGAGCATCTGGCAACAAGCTATTCAAGGTTATGGTAAACTTACCTTGTGTTAGGCCGATGAGGAGGAGTGACTTTTGCGGAGAAAGAAGGAAGGTCAAAGGATTGAGAGTGAGGTTTTGCAAGTGGCTCAGGTTCAGGACCTGAGGTAACGTTCTTTTCTTCTTCGGTCTCTTTTGAAGAGCTTTCTGAGATTTGAGACAAAGAGTTAGAACTGAGTTCGTCTACTTCAATAACTACATCAAGTTTCTTTTCTTCTAGCATGTTCTAAATGATTATAGACAACGAATTACTCTTATGCGTATGTTATGCGGAATATTTTCCTCTTTAAATTCTGAAGTTTGAGATAACTCTATAATTTATTAAAAATTATTTTCCTTACTTTCGTTCAGTTTATTGTTTTGGGAAGAAATTAATTTTGATGATGAATTTGGGCCTCCAAAATGCCTTGTATCGAAAGTAACTCCATTTTCTAGTAGATCTTGTTCCTCCCTAAACTATAACTATTTTGCTTACCTTTGTTTTCTCAGTTTCTCTAATTTCTTGAGTGCTTCTTTCTTGAGTCTCTTCTTTTTCTTTTCATCATGTTTGATCCGCTTCCTGATCGAGTTTCTTCATTTTAGATATCCATTCTTGATAGAAATATAAAAAATAGCAGTGAAGTTCTTGAGAAGACTGACAAGTATCACCCCTATATAATCAGCAAGAGCCATTACCAATCAGTAAGAATGCAAGTTTCTTGTTGGTATCCACATTGGCTTGATTTCTGTACATGTTGTAAAGGACTATCACACCAAAGACAATGGTGAACTCGTCAGATACACAGATTACTTGTTGTAATTCTTCCTTGAACGGCCGGACTTTCATGAGATATCCAATCATCTATGAAGATTAGAATTTTCCTTACAGCTATCTGCATTGCGAAGCACAGGAAAATTTGTAATACAGGCTTTTCATATATCATGACTAATATTCCTGCAATTAGAAGCCTTTGGAATCAAAAAATGATGTAATAGCTCCTGTGATACATTGTCCTTGAAAGCATGAAGTCTTCAGTCAGGGTTCCATACTTGTCGTTAAATTCTGGCTTTTTAAGAATCTTTGGAGGTGTTGAGATAATATTAAGCAGAACAAAAGGCCACACGAGTACAAATACCTATCAGTTTATTCGTAAAACTTACAGCAACTGCATACATTATTGATGTTCAAATTATTCCGCTTGTAGATAGGAATTGGATCTAAAGATGACATACTAAGCCTACATTCAGAGTATTCAGGAAGAAAGCAAGACATATCTCAATATATAACTCTGAGAATGTTCTCAATGGAGCATTCCAAAAGAAGCTAGTCCAAATCTCATTCATTTTTCTGTTAATTGACGGAATCTTTTTAAGATATTTCTTTCCAAAATAAACAATTGGAAGAGAAATCAAAAATGACCCGAAGATGATTGTCATCTGTTTACTGAACAGCAATGCTAAAAATGGAGTGTCATATCCTATAAAATTTAAATCAAAGCTCTCACCATTGGCTTCGAATCGATCATACAAAGTTACATTGACAGAAAGATCAGTTGTATTAACAACATACTGAGAGAACCAGTCTGGTAGCATGGCTTCGATATCATCAATTTCTCCGATAACCACAGCAAGGTACTTCATTAAGATATCTACCACCTTTGGCATTTCAATATTGATCATGAGGATATACCTAAAGACTTGAAGAGCATGGATCAGTGACCACATCAGTGCTGCGGATGATGATATTACGATTTTCAACAATAAATTAGTTGAGAACATAGTCATTAGCATATACTTCATGCTGTTTCCTCCAGATTCAGCGCTTTCTTTCTCTCCTAAAAATTATGGATCCTCTCTTACCTTGAGAAATATAATCGTAAAAATTAAGATTGCCTGAAATTCTTCCTTCAGTCATAATATTTCCAGTAATGTCAGTCAGGGCTGTGAGATTCTGGAACCAGAATTCTATCTTTTCAATGCCTCCTCCTTCAATTCTTGCCAAGATATCATGCACATTAACTTGTATCGAGGTGAAGTTTTTCGCTCGTTTGAGAGTTTCAGAATCAGCTATGGAGTAACTAAAAGTGTAGGGAGACTTAGGCCCTTTTATGTATGCTTTTAAACTGTTATTAAAAGCATAAAAATCACTAAACTTTACTGGCTCACTGAAAGTCAATGTGCATATATTTTCAGAACTAACTCTTGAAACAATTGCTGTTGGGCTTATAATTTCATATCAGGTGGTGCCACTACATTTATACCCAACTTCCACTTCGCAGCTATTTGAACATCCGTCAAGGTTTTCAAGATTACCATCGTCTCATTCATATTCACCTAAAAACATGCCATCTCCACAAATTTCTTTGCAAACTCCAAAATCATTGAGAGAGTAGCCTGTTACACTATTTCAATGAGTGCATGCACCAGGAGTGAGCATCTTGTAAATGCTATTTCACGTCAAACAAGTGTTAACATCAGGATACTCTCATACGTCTCAACCAGTGCCACAGGGATAGCAGGACAAATCAGTAGTATTGAGGTAATGACCTGATACTCAGGTTACCTTGTTACAAGTTGTCTCTGTCAAAGAGTAAAGCAGAGTATTGTTTCATTCTGTGCATTCAGTTCTCTCAGGTCCAAAGCATTTTGTGCATGCTTCATGACAAGTCTTTCAAGTCCAGCCAGCAGTATCTCCATAATACCCATCTGGACATGTTTGATAGCAGGAGTTATCTAGATAGAAATAACCTTCTGATCAAACTTGGCAGTTTGAACTTGTATCATCTTTACAAAGAGAGCCTATTTTGATGAATCATATCTACTTACAGTATGAATGACACTGTTCACATTGATCGGTGAGAGTATTTGCCCAGTATGCTCCAGATCACTCGGTTTTTCATTGTCTATACTGAAGGAAATATCCTGAATATCAGGAGAGTCATTGGTTGAAATCATCTGTTGTGCAGTTATTTCATTTGAAATAACAAGCTATAAAATTTTGAAAATTGATTCTTACGCTTTACTGTTACTTTGAATGAAATAAATCCCTCAAGATTGTAATCATCAACAGCTACATACTCTAGATTCCAGACTCCAACATGAAAGCCGAGCGGAATACCATACAAAGTGTTATTCAGCATGTTAAAAGTCAAAAAAGAGGGGAGAGGATCTCCATTTGCTTGTCTGATTTTTGATGTCATTGCTCTACCATCTGGGTCTGTGAATAATACATCTACTGGATTCATTACAAAATGTAAGTAATTGAAATTAACAACTGCTTGGTTATCAAGAACTTGGTTCTTAATGGGAGCTGTATTCTCATTTATTGTTAGCGTAAAATCTCTCTCAGTTGGTGTATTAAATCCATCATCTGTAACTAATGATATTGTGTGAACTCCTACAAGAGAATTTGTTGTTGATGCAATACTAAAGCTAAAAGTATCAGGGTCATTAATCAACCATGAAGGAATGGTAGTGCTACCATTGAATTTTATTGAGTTAGTGAAAGAAAGGCCTTCAGGATCACTAGCAACTCCTGCTCCATAGCTCCATATCAATGGATCTGGAACTAATAATTCTTTGTTTTCTACAGAGCTTATTGCTGTCGGGTGATTTGTATTTACGGTAAAATTCATTGTCCAAGTGTAATTATTAACATCAACATGGGGATCAATATTGTCGATACTTAGTTCATACTGTCCAACAAGAGAATTAGAATTAGGAGTCCCAGTAAATGAAACATGTGTTGTATTTTGACTGCATGTTATCCATCCAGGAGATGGGTTGATAGATCACTGGTGGGTCAGGGCTTCACTCTCATGTTCACCAACCCAACTCAGATCAAAGTGATAAGTAAAGGGAAACCCTACAATAACACTGGAAGGAGAAGTAGGTGTTCCACTTAAGTAAGGAACTTTGTTTTCTGTTACTCATACAGTCACATTATCTTCACTGGGGCTTACACTTGGATTAGAATCTTTTATAATTATAGAAAGCGTATAATTTCCAAACTGAGTATTGTCTGGGGTCCCAGAGAATAAGAGGTGTGTGGTATTCTCAGATAAAGAAATCCATGCTCCTTTTGCATCATTCACACTATGGCTGAATGATAAACTTTCTCCCTCATTATCAGAGTAGGATGATTTTGCAACTGAGTAATCAAGTGCATAGTGGGAAATTATTCATGAAGGATCTGGAGCATTAAAGTCTATTGCTGGAGGAAAGTTTTCATTTATTCTAATAGGCAAGTTTTCTGTAAATGTTGAGATATTCCAGCTATCTTCAACATGGAACTTTAAGATGAAGTCTCCAAATTTTGTGTTGTCTGTGAGAGTTCCTCGGACTGTTCTGTCGCCAGGAGTGTAAGTCACTGTAAATTCTGGAGGGACTAGTTCTACTCTAATGGTTATAGAGTCGTTTTCAATGTCTTTAAAAGCATCTGTAGGGACTGTATAGGTGAATTCATAGAATGTGGGAACTGCTGTAGCAGCTGGTAAACCTTGGTCTAGTTGAGGAATGTAGTTTTGAGTTATGGTTATTGTAAAGTTGGTAGTTCCTGCTGCTGAATTTGTGTTATTATCATTCGCGTATATAGTAACTTTATATGTCCCAACAGCAGAGTTTACTGTGGGAACTCCACTAAAAGTCCGAGTAGAACTATCAAAAGATAGCCAGCTTGAAGGGTCTGATATTGGATATGATTTTGTATACGTCACTGGTTCTCCATCAGGATCAACAAACATATCAGCTGCAAATGTATGACTTATGCTTTCTCCAGCAACAAAAGTCAAATTTGGAAATGCAGTATTTAATTGAGGAACTCTATTCGGCCTAATATAAATATAAAAAGTTTTATAAGTTTTTCCATTGTAAGATTTGTATTGATCATTAGTATATACATACAAATAATAAACAGAACCAGACACATCTGAAGTTGTAGGCATACATGAGAAAGTACCGGCAGCTTTATCAAAGGTCATTCAGCCCATAGTAGGACTAGAATAAGTATCATTATACTGGATGGTATCTCCAGCTTCATCCACTGCGTATGCGCTAAAATCATAGTCTCATTGAACACCTTCATATCAGTTTATAGTAGTTGAGGGAACCCCAATCAGAGTAGGATATTTATTGGATTTTATGTTAAAGTGCATCTGTTTAGTCACTGTCAGACCCTTTGGATCAAAAGCATTAATAATCAGAGATAGGCTATAGTTAAAGTTTTTGTAGGTAGGAGTACCAGATAGTATATTAGTAGTGTTGTCAACCGATAGCCAAGTTAGATATCCATGAACAGATGTTAAAGTCCAAGTTAGATCTTCTGTATCAGGTTCATTAAATATTGTGCTTAAATTCAGAGAAAATGGATGAAGTCCAAATCCATCATATTCTAATTTAGTAGGCCCTATATTCATTATTCAGATATTTTATCCTTAATAATCTTGAAATGGTTTTCTCTTAACAGTTAATTTTTTTGAAGCTGAGTGAAAGATATTTATGCATGAGAATACTGAGAAAAGATAATGGCAGTTTCATCCTAAATACCGAATTTGTTCATATCGATTTTATAAAATTAAAAATAATTCTCAAAAATATTATGAACTTAGCTTCTGGAAAGAAACAAGCATTCGCATGCTTTCTGTCTCAAATGGTAGATAATTTTTTAAAGTATGCAGGAATATTTTAATTCGAATTAGAAGTAAAAGATAATTTTGATAGATTTCACAATTATGTTTTATTGAGAGCTATTACAATTGATCGACATAGAAATAGCCTTTAGACTCATAATGGAACCTCAATTTCAATATTACAGAACATTCCTTGATTCAAGTAAGTTTATTGATTAAAATAATCAGAAGGTAGAACAAATTCTATCATAGAATACTATAAGAGCTCGCCTAATACTTTTTAATGATATTAAAAATATGGGCATAGAGGATTCAAGTCTAATACTTTGAAAGTTTTTGCATTTGAGGTAATCTATTATATGTTGCTCGGAGGTATAAAAATAAACAGGATATTTCTTAGCTTTTCTAAGTTTTCTAATTCGATGAAATCAAAAGGCCAATCCTACTATCACCAACATGGGCATCTCAAGATCAGTCTATCAACAGCATTTATTGCTTGTGTGTCAAAATTTCAGGCATTCAAGTTCAAGTTCATTAAGCAATGGAATCAAACAAAATGCCTTTAATAAATCAGATTCTACTGGTTGCTAATACTTTTACGCTCTTATAACACACTTTGTGGAAGAACCCGTTTTTATGATAATTTGGTCATTAATACTAGAACAGAACTCTTTCGGGTCATATGTATTAGTGGTTTTCAGATAAGCAAATCTTAAAATTACCTGTATACACTGGAGCATTATTAAAGCTAATCTCAAGATTTATAGTGTAAGTAGTCTCCTTTCCGTAGGCATCATAAACTTTGAAGTTTATTGTGAAATTTCCGATGTCTGAGTTTGAAGGAGTACCAGTTAATTTCATTAAAGGAGCGTTTACTGTGGCCCTAGAAATAATATTTTTGGATTACCATGATCCAGTAGTGTTATGAGTTAGATCAAAAGAAATAGTATCTCCATTTGGGTCAGTTACGAGTGTTTCGTCGTAATCTATTGCTACTTGGTATAGAGCAAGCTGTGAAATATTCACAAATGTCTCTGATGAAACTGGGGGTAAATTTTCTTGAATTGTCACTGTCATCTAAACAAAATATTTATATGTAAAGAGGTTTGAACAACTTACGCTTTGTGCAGTTGAGCCTGTATCTGGCCAAGGATCAACTGCTGTCAGAGTAAATGTGTAAGTTCCAATATTAGCATAAACAGGAGACCCTGAAATGACTCGAGTCACATTATCATAGCTTAAGAATGGAGCTGCTGGAGTAAATGAACCTGTTATAGATATTGCTTCAGAGTTTGGCTCACTAAATGTATTATCTACATGAGTATGTGTGTTTGTTCTCCCTTCAACAAACACAATGTCAGTAAGTGTTTGATTTACAACCGGCTTAGCATTTGCATTGATTATTACATTAAAACTTGAAGTTCCATTTGCTGTATCAGCTTTTCCATCACTAGCAGTAACAGTAACAACGTAAGTTCCAGCATCTGCATTAATTGCAGAGGAAATCTAAATATTAAAAATAAAGGTTACATTTAATTTCCAAGCTACAAAATCTCAGACAATAAGTGATGAAGTAGGAGCTACAGTATATGTATAAGACAATGTTTCTCCCTCTGGATCGGTAAAAAAGCTAGCTGGCAAGCTAAAATCTTGTGGGTATCTCGCAATTACAGTTTTATCTGCCATAACTGTAGTATTTGTCGGAGCTCCATTTGTCTGAAGTGTCAAAGTAAAACTGACGCTATTATGCTGACTTGCCGTTGCTAATGCGTCATAAGCATGAAGTGTCACAGTGTAAACTCCTGCAAAAGAGTTGTTTATTGTACTAAAAGTAAACATACACTCAGAAGATGTTGAAAGAGTCAGCATTGTGCTTGGAGGTGATGGAGATATTGTATAATTAACAGTTATAGAATTTCCATCTGGCCCATCTTCTGCACAGAATAGTGAACTTCCAAATGTAGTCTCATTTAAATATATTCTGTACACAACGTCTGGAAATGTGAAATTAAACTATAAGGTTATGTTAATTGTTTACTTTAGGTAAATAATTGGCTGTAAGTGTGAAAGGGAGAGTAGTAAAAATCTGTGCATTAGTTCCATTCTCAACTACTTTCCAAGTGTAGATATGATCGCCAGCATTTGCTCAACCGATATTAGTTACATCCAAAGTCTGGTTATTATTAGAAATTGTATTGGTAAAAGAAGATGCCGAAGCAGGAATATCGTGGCTATCGTAATAGAAAGAATCACCTTGATCATCAATTCCTGAAGGAACTGTAATAGTAATACTGTACTCACAATTGACATATTGCTGAGCAAGAGCAGAGGAAAAATAAGGGGCTGTGTTGACAGTAAAGGTGACATTAAAATCATAATCTCTAGGAGTAACAGGATCATAATAAACTCTCATCATAAGTTCCTTGGTAATTGCTCCCCCTGCTAAATTTAGGGTCTGAATTGTCCTCCTATGATAAAGTTAGACATGAATTAAATTGAAGAATTGCTCTTTACTTCACTTCAGAGCACTTAAATTTTTCTCTGAACCTAATTGGCCAGATTTCTCAGAGTGGCTTACTTTCCAGAGGTTTCTACTGCACAAATACTTGAAGCAGTCATTGTACCTTTATCCAGGCATTCATAATAGATGCCTCCTGCCGCATTGGCTAAAATTGTTAAGAAAAATCTTACTGACAGACTTGTTTGTCTGGAAGGCAAGAGTCACTTCGTGAAATTCTCCAGCGCGAAGAATAAGATTAGTCACAGGAGTTGTAATGATAGGATCATTTTTGATGGTGCGGGTGTACTATGGGTCAAGAAATGAGCTTACAATAAGATCTGCGGTGGATGCTAAAGGAAGATCCCATACTATCACCTATGGAGTTAGAGAAAACAGTACTTTGAAGTTGAACTCGTATGTTATTTGAGTATCATACCAGACCCCTAAGGCAGTGGTGTCTATGTGATATTTGACTTTTTGATCTGTTGTGAATGTGGAGTCGTCGACTGTTATTATTACAGGCACAGTTGTGTTAGTACCGTTGGTGAACAAGGAGATTGTGTAAGGTATATTAGAAGGACTATCGCCTGTAATAATATTCCACTGGAATGAGCCAGTAGTAGAGTAATAAGTATAATCAGAAGCAATTATATCACTAGTTACAGATGGTATAACTAGAGAGCAATTGTTAACTCCTGCCGTTTCTAACTTAGCTTCATCAGCTTTAAAATAATATGGAGAAGTGGTGAATTCATCATCTCTATATTTAAGATTAGTCAATAATTTCCTCAGTATCCTTCAAATACTGAAAATGAAATTTAACTTCTCTTCTATCTTGAAACTAGTTCAAAAGCTTAACATAATTCCCAAATTTAGCATTAAAATATATTCCTCGTCATTATCGGTTATTTTATCAGGTCAGAACTTACACAATGATTGTTGTAGCAGTCATTGCGACCACTGTGAAGTTACTCTCTCAATCAACTGCTGGATCCAGAGCTGTTGTTGCTTGAGTATTTATTGAGAAACCACCAAGACTACTTTTTGATGCGAAGGTGTATCATGATTGATAATTTGCCAAGGCTTGATCAAATTTTAAGATTGCTGCATTTTCATGAGAAGTGTCTGAACCAAATCCAGTACCTCCAACTGAAGCATAGTAATACCCACTGGAGTAAAGAAGAGTGCTAAGAGAGCCGGGATTTGCATCAGTCAAACTTTTGAATAAAGTCATTGATACTTCACGAGATGTTGAATTATATATTCACTAAAGTACAAATTTGTTAGATAGAATTATAATGCCTTTTAACATGTCAATTTTTAATGAATGTATTTCTTATGCATTGCTCACATCATTAGCTTGGTTGTAAATGTCGTTTAAAACACTTTTGATAAGGTTAACCAAAGTCTATTGAACAAACAAAAATGCATATTAATATAATTTTAAGAGATGAGAATATGAAAGCTTACCAATGATATTAAAATCTCTGAGCTCCCAATTCCAACAGTGTATATATTCTCAGCTCCAGCAACGTTTATTGAGTGCGTGGCTATCGGTCTAAAATAGAAGTATCTAAATCTCAAATAAAAGATTGTCAGATCGTTGGGATCAAATATTGTAAAGAAGAAGGCTCCATTAGGTGTGACTAAGTCAGATAGGTTCAATCCATTTCCAGCCATTTCTCCATTTGAGAAACTGACTAATTGGAGGTATCTATGATCTTGGATAATATATGAAAGAGCTATAAATTTGTTATTTAAAACCTTACATGCACCCCTTTCAACATAAGTGACGTCACTACAATCTTCTGTTTTTACTTTGTAGTAATACTGCATTGTGCTACCTATTTTAATGAGTGAGTTTAGGGATTTTAGGCGATTCCTTAAGTACGAAAAGTACGGAGAAAGTCTGAAATTTATAAATCATGTGGTAAAAGTAATGGAAAATTAGACTACAGCTTGACTGAGTTTGCAGAAAGATAGCTTTAATCTAGGATTATCCATTTCTTTCTAACTGTTAGACTTTATTAATAATATTGAGTTAGCAGAAGAAGCATATTTTAAAAGATTTTGCATTTGAAGCAACTTTAACAGCAAGGTTGGTTGTATTTTCTTAAAATTTCCTACTAATGATTTAAAGCCATTTAATTCCTAGTAATACACCGTGACTTGATAGTAAAATATGATCCCCAATTGTTTTTATAGAATTTCATTGTAATACAAATATGGACATTCCTATGCATGTTTTCCAATGTCAAATCTCCTTTCAAGAATGGTAACTAATCTATATACTCGAATATGGCTTCCTCGTCAAAATGGAATTATACTAAGGAAACTCCATTTCCCTCTGCCCAACTTTTACTGCCTGATCGAGTTCATTCACAGAGATTTTTGAAAATTATATCTGAGTTGTTACTTGATCCAAACCCATTCATATTACACGAAATCAGTTAATAATAGATGTCTGACTTACCTCGATTTCCATCAGACATAAAACCAACATGATAACCTCCTGTCTCAAGCACGTTTGATGAATGGGTAAAGGGATACCCATTGTTTTTGAATTTTAGACTACTTGGAGCAGTATCTGCAATCCCATTCATGCAGAGCATATACACATCTCCATTAGTCTCTGAGAAGTACACAGCATGTTTATCAGTTGAAGAGGTGTGTGCCATCAGAAATGTTGAAGCCACTGGGGTACTTGAAGAGTACGTTACGTCCAAGTTGCCTAAAATAGAAAGAAATCCTTACTGTCCATTTGAGTTACAATTAGATTTGTAGACCTAAAGTTAAGAAGAAAGAGTTACGATTTCAGAAACAGGAAGAATCCAGACAACCCTTTGTTGCAGTTAACTTCAGTTGGATTGTCAACGGCTGTTCTGTAGAATTTCATTGCCTGAATTTCTCCAAGGTAATTCATTTTCAATGCAAAAGTATCAGTTGAGAAGGTGTTGTAATCTCTATTTGTCAAAGAGTTTAACTTACCCAGTCATTGTTCCACATACAATAACAGTATCGGCTAAAGGTTCAGCTCGATGACTTACTTGCGAGTTCGAACATGGAGGAGATCTCTGTTTTGCCAAGGTTTTCAAGAACTAACGGGAAATAGTACGGAGCTGTTGCCTATTTTGGAAAGTTTAAATTTAAAGAAAAGAATGTATTGTTAGAGTATGAAGTATTTTAGGTTTTAAAAGAAAATTTACTATTTTAGAATAAATTTTAGAATGAAGATGACAGAAATTAATAAGAATAAAGAGTTTCATAATCTTTCACAGTAGAAAAGAACATTTAAGCTAAAATAAAACAGGCACATCTGGAAGAATCGGCTTCTTCATTCATTTTCATCACTTAAATAATTTGAATTTTTGAAGAATTCATAGAACTTTTATAAGAAAGGTAAAACATCTAGTGAGGTTAAGAAAATAATAAAGTTTTTATACAACTTACTAATTCTCTATTTTCTGTTCAAAACATCATCAATGTTTATTTCTCTGTCCTCTTTCTCAATTTCTAAACCATTGTTATCAGCCAACATACAAAATTCAAAACCTTCATATCCAACTTATACAAATAAAAATGTTCCCTCTAAAAACCTGATATAACTAAATTCAGCTTCAGATTACTCAAAATTGCTCCAAAAGAGTCTAAATCCTTTCAAACTCTCATAATTCAAGTCAAAAATACTTATGCTAACTTTTAATTCAAACTCCCACAAAAACCTCTTTAATAATCTATTATTAAATATTGTTATTCTTCTTCCTCAGAAGTCACTCAATGCGAAAGCAACTATGACCAAAACCTAACCGATAACATATAGAAGAGAAAGACCTACTCCCATCCAGGAGATGCTCCAAAGACTAAAGAGTTATCCGAGGTGATAGACCAAGAAGTACTTATGATAAGAAAAATGATGGAACTTTAGACTCGGTCTTGATTACTACTAAAGATAGAAGAGCACAAGATCTCCCAATGGCACTTAAATTCTGTTAGTGGTGAAAGACACATAATGGTACATCTTAAGTAAGGTTTACCAAATTTTTATTTTTAATACCCATCTCTTGTCATGGTAATTATATATATCTTAGAAAAATTGCACTTTAATAAAACGAAAATGATTCAGAATTACCATGGAAGCCAAATAATCATGGATTTTGGAGAAAAAAATTGGAATAAATATTTAATAGTGAGATAGGTCACCGAGAAGCAGAAAATATAGCAAAGTAGTACATCTAATTAGTTTTTAGGAAAATTATAGGTATCTCTAACTATGAAAAGTATTTGCTGAGTCATAAAATAAAATTAGTACAAATTCCATACCTTGAGCTGAAACATGATCAACCATCCACAGAATAGCCCATACTACTTGTAGAAATACAAAGAGCTTCATTTTTATTAATATATTTATATTTATTTAACTTCATACATATAATGGGGTTTTGGGGTTTTGGGGTTTTGGGG